TCCATCCATCCATCCATCCATCCATCCATCCATCCATCCATCCATCCCTCCGTCCATCCATCCATCCATCCATCCATCCATCCATCCATCCATCCATCTATATATTCAAATATATATTAAATAAATAAATAAATAAATATTGTTATATATGGTATATCATGTATTAATAAATTATTAGTCTTTTTTTTTTTGTGGACTATATATTATATATTATATTTAGATATACATGTACATATTACATATTATGTACAATATTTTCATATACTACATATTATATATTAATTTTTAAAAACCCAGGGGTAGGCCGCTAAGAGGAAGAGGTAGCTAGTAGCTCAAGTACGCTTCTGGGTAGGACGCAGGATAATCGGATAGTTCACGCTTCTCCAAGGAAGCTGCCCCCCTGAAAGGGGAGCGTCCTTGAAGAAGCGCTCGCACAAATGATTTGGTTCCTAGATTGTGTATGCTGACAGCAGCTGGGGTTGATGCTTTTCCGTGTTGTTCCCACTGGCCTGTTCGCCTTGCCTGGGCAAGGTTAGAAGATATGGGCGACCCAAAGGGGTATTTGGAAATGAAGGTGGAGGACTAAAAGTTGCTGCTGACATTTTGCGTTGTGGTAATGTGGGCTTGTCACAGGAAGTTTACATTTACGTGGGGTGCCTGTTTGTCGCATCATGTCGTTCGATTGGAGTCGTGGCACGCTTGTCAAGCAGTAGCAACACAGAGAGGTCTTGGCATGGCATGCCTTGAGCACTTGCCTGAGCGCTGCCGCTTTGGGTGCACACGGCCATAAAACACACTAGATTCTGTTGTGCAGGAGATCGAAAACGGCGAATTCAAAGGCAAGACCTTGGAGGTGCCAGAGGCTGGGGATGGCCTCAATTTAAATTAACCTCAGTCTTTCCAATGTTGAAATTATCTAAATCTGAGCAAGCTGTGCCACGTGCCTTTTGACACTCTTGTTGCATGCTGTCATTTGATGTGCTAAAGGGTAGGCATTGGCGGAATGAAGATGGTCGCATGTGGCCATTTGGCTCTAGAACAGACTCTACAATTGCAGTAGATTTTAGGTGGCCTTGTCTTGTAGCAATCTTTGGGGTTTGCTCAACACATTGCGGGCAGACATCCACAGTTTGTGATGCGGGAGCTGCCCTGCCCAAACACAAGAAAGCGATCCAACATTTCCTGTGGAGCGGTTTTAGCTACTTAGTTAGTTGGTGAAGTGGCGCCACTATCTTGAGGCTGGAGAGACCGTCGCAATTTTTTGCGGGACTGGTTTAAAGCATCTAAAGCAGTTCAGGGATGTTCAGGGTTTGGTGCTGGATAGAATTGTGGATATGGAGAGTTGCCCGAAGAGGGACCCTGTTGGTGGTGACATAGGAATCCAGCTTTCATCACCATACTGACTATGAAGTCATATGCGGCAAATAAAGTCATAAATACGTCGTCTAAGTTTTATTGTCAGAGTGGTGTCACACTTGGCATGGTTGACACAAGCAGTTCCTCCTTGTCTCCACACCATGATGTACTGTATACAGTTTGTTCATATTAGTCATTAGTCAGTTCTTTTCACTATGATCTTTTACACCTGCATTTGTTGCAACATGTGCCTGGGTTCCTGTATGTCTTTTGCCCGTTCCACACGACATGCCTTGATCAAGAATAAGATTGTCAGGTTGTCTGGCTCGTAGATGCTTGTAAGCCCCACATGTGCACGAAGGGCCGTCACAGCCTCCTGCCACTGGCCCGAGTCAAAGAGCACCCAAACAAAAAGCAGCATAGAGTTTGACATGTTCCCCTGAATGTCCGCTTGGCACACGATCGGTTGTACCCGCTCTATTTTTGAGACCTGCTCAAATCCGACCTGTTACTGCATTCGCAAATTGTGCGAAAAAGAGCAAAGTGAAGATTTGCCTGAAGAGAATGAGCTTGGTTCGAAGGAGGTGCTCCTGTACGCACTGGGTGCATGTGCTCGGCTTTGCTACGGTACAGGCCTTTATGATAAGGAGGGAAGCGACTGGGGACACTTGGACCCTCCTTTGGAAGGAGAAGGTTGGGTTGTTGTAGATCAGATCTGCGAGGCCATGAATTCAGAGGAAACTGTCCAGGCCGGCTGCTACGTACCTGAAGCTCGGCAGGCCAAGATAGCCATAATCGCCTTCAGAGGAACATGCACGAGAAAAGGCATCCTGCAGGACATTGCAGTAGGATTGCCGCTCTACCGAAGACAATTGAAGCATGCCATCAAAGAAGCATGCAGCTACATATCCAAATGCCGTGCTCACCTCCCACTTCATCATATTTATGTAACGGGCCATTCACTTGGCGGCTTCATTGCAGAGGCCGCAGCATCCTTCATGGGTGCGGACGGCGCGGTATTTAATTCACCAGGCCCCAAGGCAGTTGCTCCATGGAAGAAGCTTGTGGGAAGTCATCGCCCAGCTTTCGAAGTTCACTTGACTCGAGATGATCCGCTGGCCATGCTTTTCCCAAAGCCGGATTCTCACAAGCACATTTCCAGAGTCGTGCACTGGCACGAGGGCCATGATCATAAAATTTGCTCGCCATATGTGAGGCATATCCAGGCTCTGAAGTGGCGAACAAACCGGCTCCCCATCCCAGACCATGTCCAGATTGTCAACCAGGTAGAGGATTTGGAGGCTATGTATCCACCTCCGGAGGAGATTCAAAACAGAATCAGTTCAGACAGTCAGGGGTTTGTGATTGCTTTTGGCCCTGAGGTTTCGTACAGCTGTGTTTTTGCAAGCCGATGGGCCCCCCTGTAGTTGCTTTGATGCTTTTGACAGGCCAGGTTGTGCGAAGTTTCAATTTCTTGTTCCGATATGACTCTGAAGTTGGTTCGCAGCAAGCTGTAAGCTCATCAATTAGGTCTTTCCTGTGCAGCTCTTTGCACAGTTTCAATATCAAAGCTTCCTCGCTGTGTCATTTGTCAGGAGATCTCAGATACAGAGAGTGAGGACAGCTCTGACGAGAGCAGCCACTGACCGACAACTGCTCCCCTCCAAAGGAGAAAGAGCATGAACAGAGCAAAGTGAAGGTTGGTGGGCGAAAAGCGAGGGGCTCCCCGAAAGAATGCATCAAACTTATATAAACCATTCTTTTGCTCTTGTGCGTGGCTGTGTGTTTTTGTGTGTCTTGCAGTCACTGATATTGGCAAGCCACCAGCTTCACCGCAAGGGACCGTGCCCCGGTGCCCCGTTGGCTATGTGGAGAGTAGCTTGAGAAGGGTTTTTGGTTGAAGACCAGAAACGTAGTGTCACACTTTCAGTGAATGACACTCGGTAACCTTCCCGACCCCGAAGACCAGAGGCAGTTTCTTTGTTGGTTTCCCACGCTTTGCATGTTGGCATGTCAAAGAAATCCCGCTCCGAAGGCAGCATGCTCTGGTCGCTGGCTTCGGTTTAGCCATCAACCAGGAGGATCAGTGTGACCTGTGACCAATTGTTCCATTGCCGCGTTGTAGACCATGTGTCGCTACTTGTGCAAGACTAGAAGCTTGAGTAGGAAGCACGCAGTTGCTCACAGGGACTTCACAGATGCTCACAGTTGTACTCCTGTGTATGCAGTGATTTGCTTGTGCAGAATGGCAAGTGCAAGACCAAGAGCTGAGGCTTTCAGCCGGAAGGTTGGAGGATCTGCGAGACTTGGGCTCAAGCATTCCGCTCCAGTACTGGCTAGAAAAAGCAATGCCGGATTGGTGGCAAACAATTGGATGTACACGCTCGGTCTTCGAAACCTGCAATCCGACATGCTTCATGTATCATCAGGACTTCTGTGGTGAGGACAAATGCGAAGGCTTGCCCGAAGCTAATGAGCTTGGTTCGAGGGAAGCGCTCCTGTACGCAATGGGTGCATGTGCCCGGCTTTGCTACGGTACAGGCCTTTTTGATCAGGAAGGGAGCGACTGGGGAAACTTGGACCCTCCTTTGGAAGGAGAAGGTTGGGTTGTTGTAGATCAGATCTGCGAGGCCATGCATTCAGAGGAAACTGTCCAGGCCGGCTGCTACGTACCTGAAGCTCGGCAGGCCAAGATAGCCATAATCGCCTTCAGAGGAACATGCACCAAAAAGGGTGTAAGGCAAGACCTGTCTGTCGGGTCACCATCGAGAAGAAAAATCAAGAGCGCAATCAGGGAGGCCTGCAGCTATGTATACAGGTGCCGTGCCAAACTTCCCAACCACCACATCTACATCACTGGCCATTCGCTTGGAGGCTTCATAGCAGAGGCGACAGCTACATATGTGGGTGCAGATGGAGCGGTTTTCAATTCGCCAGGCCCGATCGCGGCCACTCCGTGCAAGAAGGTCCTAGGAGACTATCGGCCAGCCTTTGAAGTTCATTTGACTCGAAATGATCCTCTGGCCTTTAGCCTTTTCCCCAAGCCGGAATCTCATAGGCACATCGCAGAGGTCTACTGGCATGACGGTCACGACCACAAGGTTTGTGCGCCATATGTGAGGCATATTGCGACTTTAAAGTACAGGCCGAACCGGCTTCCGATCCCAGATGATCGTCAGATTGTCAACCAGGTTGAAGACTTGGAGTCTGCATTTCCACCTCCAGAGGAGCCAAGGGTAGCCGAAGGGGAGCTGAAGGTTTCACATGGTTTCACTGTCATCCCAAGAAAGGCGAATAGGGGTCCCTAATAATACGCGTTAAGAGTTGGGGGCTTCTCGCCTAGAATCTGCACACTCTCACAACAATGAGTCATGCTTGGTCTAGTGAGGCCAGGAGCTTAGTAGCGTCCTTGCTCCTAGTAGCGATGCCCTTTGTTCCTAGTAGCTTCTTGTTCCTAGTAGTAAGGCCAGGCGCCCTAGTAGCGTCCTTGCTCCTAGTAGCGATGCCCTTTGTTCCTAGTAGCTTCTTGTTCCTAGTCAAAGGAAGTTTAGTGTGCAAAACTTCCGTGTTACGGACATTCAACAGCTGTTCAACCACCACTCATCATACACCACTCATCATACACCACTCATCATACACCA